TATATAAAACCACTGTATAATTTTGAGAACTAGCAGATCAGCCAAAACCCGGATAAAAGGAACAGCGAGAGTGTGCAGGTAGACTAGAGCCTGCATTCAAGACGATACCTCGATGTGGGCAACATGTGGAAGGCCTGTAGCAATGAACAGGCTCTGCTCTTTTCGTGGCCTACTCTAAAGCTGCTCAGAGTCCTAAACATTAACATATCTATAAGAATATGTAGTACAGTAATCCCCTCTTTCAAACTGCCAGTAGAAATTAAATATTAAGGGAACAGGCATTAATATGAATCCTGAGCAGAATTTCAAAAAGCTCTTGGGAAGTCTCTAGATGGCTGGAACCACCGAAAGACATATTTATAAAGGATGCTGCTTCAAATAGGTAGGTGTCCATAATGTGTGTTATTTCTTTTCAGTGATATATACTGCACAGAGATAGAACAGTCCTTTTTTATTAGCTTTCCCAGACAAAATGCCTGATGGGTAAGAAAAACTTCCCTAACAAATGTTTCCAGTTCTCACACAAGTCGGACTAAGAAGTATGACCTGAACTCCTAAGTAGAAAAACTTACCTAACCTCTTCCTTTGCAGGGAAAGTTAAGATCCAGTCTCCTTTTAGGATTGCTATTTACTAACACTATCTCAAGGCTGTAAATTTAATTTTGGAAGAACCATCAAATTAATTGAGTGGCTTTGCTCAAGAACAAACAATTTGAGCAATGGAGGCCCTAAACCTTTTATCAATTCCAAGTCTGGTTATAATAGAGCTTTTCTTCTGTTCCCTCAATAACATTTTAAGGAACAGAATGAAGCACAGCAAACTGACAAGTGCAAAAAGGCTTCTCTCTGTTTTATATGGCTCTAAGCGTCTGCCTCGCCGCATTTAATACTATTCTATGGCAATCTAATTAATGTTATGTGTGATTGGGGGGTTATACTCTCCAACACTAATTTAACATATATACACTAAGCAGAGAGACCCACTTAATCTAATATCTTCCATAATGCTTATAATGAATTCGTTAAAAACGCTAGAAATACTGTTAAAAAGAAACTCACGTTTAGTTTGAATCTATCCACTTGAGTTGAAAGTTATTGCAATTTAGATAGAAGCACACAATTAGTCTTTAAAATGCCACTCAAAATAACAAAACAGAGATAAATACAAAACAGGCCTTCTAGAACATAACACCCGTGGACACATGCGCATCACAGGCTGCTCCCCTTCAGTTTTTCAATAACATGTTTACACAGAGTTCAAGTTCAGTTAGTAAAGCTACTGTGGCAGAAACACAAAAAGAAAATCCCAAACTCATTACTGCACAGAGGCTACAACAGTATTCCCTATCATTAACAATGAATTCACCCACTTACATTTTCCTTCTTCCCAAGAAATAAAATTACAGCCGTATCATAGCCTCTAACAGAGAATGTCATGAATGATTACAAACAGGAACCTTTGCCATTAACTATATGATGCATGCGCAAGCACTTTATCCTGTAGGCGCTGCCAGAAATGAAAAATAATGGGCTCTCAACAAAGCAGCAATATGGTAGAATAATATTTTTAAAGCTTTGGAAGAAAAAAAAAAAAAGAACAATGAAAAAGTCTTTGCATTTCAAAGTGCATTTTTAATTTCATTTCCTGCATCTTCCCCTCTCCTGATTTGGCTTGGGACCAGCAGAATTGTGTAGACTGGTTGCCTTAGGAAATAGTATTTTCACCTCAGTAGTTTAGCACTGTTTACTAATATACTTGTCCTGAGTGGAATAGAGACAGAAAAGGGAAGTGACAGGTACTTGTATGGATCTTCAATAGTTTTTTATTCTGAGCATTTTTTGAAAGTAACAGGTATCCGAAAGGAAACAGATAGATCAGCTTTCCATATAACACCAACAACGACGACACAAATGCAGAGCTTTGCATGTGGTAAGTTTCTTGGGAAGAGATCTCAGAGAAATGCATTTAACTGCATTACCAAATCCAAACAAAGCCTCAACAGCTGCTTTTTCTGACACCGGACCAGCTATGTAGGGGCAAGAAAAAGAGATCTGTGCATTGAAGTATTAACACTCATTGTAGCTGTATTTAAGTATTAACACTCATTGCAGATGCCGATTGAGACTCTAACAACAGAGATGCCTCTGCATTTCTTTGAACCTTTATTTTTCTAAGTGCTTAAAGCTGTGACACATGACTAAGTTAGAGCACCCTTGCAAGCTACTACAGGTTGTCTGAGCTGCCAATCTTAAACACCACTTGTGATGTAAATCATGTTAGCTTGAATCTCACTGACAGATATTCAAGCTAACCTGCTCCTCCTGCAGTTCACACAGCCACAGTCAGTCTTCTCTGTTCAGCTGACACTGCAATTTAACAAGTCTTTCACATTTCTTATTCCTGAGGATTAGAGACGACAACTGCGCTGTTCCCAAACAAAAGGAATTTCAAACTTTTGTAAAGTCAGAAAGCCTGGGACATGCTGCTAAATTCAATAGCCAGATTTATTACCGTTTGTTTGTCCTAAAAATGTGGACATTCCATTCACAGTATTTCAACAAGTCTGACAATTATTACATTCAATTCAATCTCTTCAGCATTGCTATATAAGTAAAGAGATGAAGTTTGTTAATTCTCTGAGGCCAAGGTACTGGCCTCAAGAGAAAGTAACACCTGATTTTTCTCTTAAAGTCTCTGCTTATTTCAGGTGTTCTTTGAATTTTTCCATTATCCTCATAGCACTGGAGACCCTATCAGGTAGCAGCAACGCTGCCACAGGCAGTCTACGCCATACCATGTTATGGTCAGGTTAATTGTGTTACAAATAACATATTAGTAAATTCATGCCACTACAGAGGATTAATTTAATAACTTGGACTTATGGATAGCACACCTCTCCATGATTCTCTAAATATGAAAGGTGTTGTGTTCAATACTCAAAAATAGGTTGCTCGCTCATCTCTCGACACCACTCTAAAAAAAAAAAAACCCCACTGGATTTAATTTAGAAGATACGTGACCATATCTTTTTAAAAGCCTCCCTTGAATTTAAGGTGAAACACCTTTTTTGCTGATATGTAAAGAAAAGTAAACATTTTAAATTAAAAGAATCACATATGTTACCTCATAAAAGAACTCCTCCTCTGCATTTGCAAACATTAATTCTTCCTTTTGCTGATTCCTCCCTTCCCTCCTCTTAGAATTGCTCTTTGTGGCTTCTGTAAAGGTCTTGCTGATAAGAAGATAGTAGTGGCACTTTCCACAAGGTTTGTTTGTTCTCTGTGCCTCAGTCAGCTCTTTCCTAAAGATAAATAAATGTTTACACATGCAGTTTAAATCCTCAACAAGTGTATAAGTAAACCTTATAATATATTAGTATAGAAAGGATATTCATAGTGCAGCCTATTCTTTTACGAGTGCCTCAGAAAATGAATTTTGGATACGTATTCCTAGTACTTGAACATACTGTTTGCACTTTAAAACAATAGAAGTATGGATGTCTTTCCACATCTCACAATATAACCCTTTTTTTCCCCAGAAACTTGATCATGGTAGAGAGTTGTGAAATTATTCTAAGTGCAACTCTCCTGAAAATACATCACGTTATCACTTCCATGAGGAACTATATAACTGAAGAGCCAGAAGATACTCTTGCTCACCCTGTGTTAAACATGTTGTCACTGCAACACTCCAAAACCTTTAAGACAAACAGGCTGAGACCGGATTTGAGTTGTGACAAGTGCTAAACCTCAAAGCCAGGCCTTCAAGCACCTCATTTCTTTCTTTAAAAACCTTCCTGACCAACCCTATCAGCACAGTTTCTTTCATATCAAAGTAGTAATTCCTTAAAGGTCTATTTTATTGTTTAAATGAGCCACGACAGCAGTCCACTTAATCTGACTTCTAATCTCACCTCACATGAGAGAAAAGAAATAACCAAAAATCCCTTCATTTGATTACTGGAGTTCCTTATCCAACATAATTTCCTGATTCTCAACATGGCACTAAAACGATATACCACTGTATCTCAGTGGATTCATTTACCTACTGTCACCCAGCCTATTATACAAATCCATGAACTGGTAGAGTTCAGCCACCACTTAACCTGCTTCATTCATTTACTTGAAACTAATCAAAACACTGCATATGGTTTTCATGGTCCAGAACTCATCCACTTTATAAGCCTGTCCCTCAATCCAAATCTTCCATTCCAGAGCCAGACATTAACACACAAACAGAAACACCCAAGCTGTTCATTATCAGCATGCTATAAAAAAGTTCTCATTTTTAAATTTTCCTAGATCAATATGAAAATAATCCGCAATACAAAGATAAACTACAATATACACACAGCTATTTCTGCAGTAGAACAGTACATATTCTTAAATTATTTCCTCTACCTTAAAGCATAGAGTGTGAAAAGCCTAAAGATATAAAAAAAATTAAAAAATTAACTGAAGACCTTATATGAGATGAAAATAATTTTTTCTGTTCATGTCTGTCTTAGTTCTACAGTATCACCTGTCTTAACATAGTTCTAGATACATATGATTTCTGAAAAAATATGAAGAAAACAACATCACATCAAAAAATTCAATGTCAAAAAATTCAACATAAGGTCAAAAAAACCCCCAAACAAACTTACTGAAGCTGCTGGTGCATGGGTAGAGCAATCTGCGGTGGTACATTAATGAACCTTTCACTTAGTAGAAGACCCACAGGCTTAGTATTGTCATTTAGGAGCTTATTCAGTTGTTCAACTACATGCTGTTCACAGCTCTTCTCACACCGACTTAGAATCAGCTCTTTGATCTGTTCAGCACACTGCGTACCCTAGAATCAAAAGGTATGTTTTCTTTCCATCATAAAACAATTATTTACAGAAGAAAACCTTGAATGTGAACTTCAAGGGAATATTCTACAGGCCTATTGGCAATTTCCTTAAGTGGTCTCTAAAGCACTGGACAATTTCTCTGAAATTATTTACCAATCCTGAAGCTGAGGGCAAACAAAGGTTCTTCACTGATGGGAACGCAGCTAGGCGCTGCAGCACCAGTACACTCAACAGAAAAACTCAAAAGCTGCGAAAGATGAAAGTGAAGAAATACAACAGGCCAACAGCTCAGTTACCCTGGAACTACTTATTAGACCTCGCTTTAACTCTCTGTTCCACTCTTCGCATTATGTTTGACCTTCAGCAAGTTACGCAGGACTAAATCGAACAGAAAGCTAAGTGATGTGCAACTTTTAAGACCATAGTCCTCCATGGTGGAATTCAAAATCCTGATCTGTCTGTCTAGGCTTGTTATACAAGGCAGACAAGCAGGACACAGTCTCACTTATTACTGCCTAGATGTTACTGAGGAATACCAACCTTCCTTTCCGTTAAGTTTAAGCAGCTTATAAAACCGAAGACTTCATCCTCATCATCATCATCATCATCGTCACTACTGTCTTCTTGGACTTCTGCTTGCTATTTAACGAAAGAAAAATCAACAACTAGTATTGACATTCTATTTCCACTCTCTGCAGCAGGAAATGTTTTTCTTTCCAGAAGATGCTCAGCACCTGACAACCATCTAGGTAATCTGTACAAACACACAACCTACAAATTCTGGTTACGGTTATGAAAGTGCCGCATCATTGAATGTCTCTGTGTACTTAGAGCTAGCTATACAGAGAGCCAGGTCATATATCTTCTACAGCAGGATCTTTTGAAAGGCACTAAAATTTGATAGCTCACATATAATAAGCAGCATCATGGTACAAGGGATGGCAGTATCTTAAGAAAAAACAATTTTCTTCAGTTTCTAACGTAGAGAAATAAACCTGCAAAGTCTTAAAAACCACAGAGCAGCAGAGCTTTGATAGAGCGTGAAACAAAAAATGCAACAAAACTCCGCAATGAAAAATTTGGGGAAAGAACTGGGGGTTGTGCAGTTGTAATATAAGGATCATATTAAACTTGGGCAGAAAAACTCTTGGCACAGGAGAAAAAGGGAATGTATAGCATGCAACATGGTACAACAGCACAACTGGGGCATGGGGGCAGCTTGTTTGGGTTTGAAAGCAACGTGGCCATGACATCTTGAGCACTATGCAGTACTGAACAGCTTCCTTAGCCAGGAGTAACTCAGGAGCCTCTGCAGAGTGCTCCACTGCCGTAGAAGACTCATTTTCAGGATCCTTTCCTATGCCCAAAGAACTCTGCACAAAAGGAAACTGCATGCGGGTTATTTTTGGTCTGTATCTCTGTACTTCCTGAGAACGGAGGGAAATCACAAGGTCCTACTTCTTATGGAGATGGTAACAAACTTCTTCACAGCATTTTTACTCTACTACACCAAAATTCAGAGAGGAAAGTGAAGCACCTTCCATATATAAAAAGAAACCAACCAAAATAATCAATCAAATTCCTTGCTTGCTTCAAAGTAGGCATGGAAAATTTCAGCTCCCATAGAAGAATTATTGTCAAAGCAAAAAAGCCAGAAAGCCTATAAATTACAAAGACAGGATCCTCTTCTGAAAGTCTGTTATGTCATTTCAACATAAAAAGTATTGTACACTTCATTTACAAATGTAAATTCTGTCTTACCTTGATAATACTTCCAATATGATTCTGTTGTATTAATATATCAGTTAATTCAGCAGTGTTAACAGGAGCTTTTAGAAACAACTGGAAAATAAGAAAAACGTATTAAGTTTTAGGCCTGATGATATATCATAGGCCCCTTAGTAGAAAACAAAGTCAGTAACTTCTCTAAGTTGTCATGCAATACTCTGTTGCATGTTTAATTTCCATTTAGTGAGTTTGTTTGTTTAACTTCCTTTGATATAATGCTGTAAAGACTGAAAATAAGCTTCTTGAAGCGCTTGCTTCTCGACTCTCCACAAGCTGGCATTTTGCATACCTGGTATCCTTTTGGGTTTGGTATGATCTGAATGCTTGCTGAGCACAGCTTCACAACAGAAACAGCCAAAAGATGACTGGAAGCTGCCATGTTGAACGGACACATTGCTTGTTTATCTGGTTTTTAAGGGCTGTAAGTTACAGAAAAAACCTCCAGGAAGCTGATTAACATCAAATGAGGTTTTCTGGGCAGCAACTAACACAATGAAGATGGAAAGATTATACACACTGTGGAAGAACAGCCCTACAGTTCATTGGGTAAAGTTCTCGAAACCATGGTTTAGGAGACACAGTTTGCTGTGGCTGTAATGATTTAATCTTCATGAGCTGAAGCACAGCAAAACTATGAATCAATACAGATAATGTGAACTGATGACTTTGCATAACTCTTTAGATATTATTTATTAATGGACATATCAACCAAGCTAACAAGAATTCAAAGTACCTGTTGTAGTAATTTCTTTATCCCGTTATAGTCATTGTCCGATATGGAATGTGCTTCGAATTCCACATTCACTTCCTATGAAGAAGTAAAATAGAGAATATCAAACACACCTGGCAAGAAGCTATATCAAAACAAAGCTAAACTATAAGAAACCTGAAGACAAATAATGGTAAGCATCAGAAATGCAACTTATTTCCGTATTTCAGTAAGTAATCTCAGCAATTGTTACACTTATAATTTCTTCTGTAATCTTTAGAGAGCATCTGCAAAAGTAACTTTTTAAAACTATCTTAGAAGTTGTGTTGTGAACAAACCTTTAATGCTTTGCTCCTGCAATCTGGTTCACACAATTACGTTTACTGTAGCCACACAGACTCTAACTGTAGAGAAGCTTGATCCAGGCAGTTAACTCTTAAAACCACAGGACTGGAGCATAATGCCTTGGCTGAAGACGAAGCTTGCTGCAGACATTTAAATAAATACATCCAAAACCAAACTTCTATCTCCTCCGAATCCTAACGGTATCATTAACCCCATTCTGGAAGTCTGCTCAGTAAGCACATAATGAGACCCAGTCACAGCACAAACTGAACGTGAACTCCTGCTTCTTGGAGAACAAGTCTGATGAGGAGCAGCTGAGGGAACTGGGGTTGTTCAGCCTGGAGAAGAGGAGGCTAAGGGGAGACCTTATCGCTCTCTACAACTACCTGAAAGGAGGGTGTAGTGAGGGGGGTGTTTGTCTTTTCTCCCAAGTAACAAGCAATAGGACAAGAGGAAGTGGCCTCAAGCTGCATCAGGGGAGGTTTAGATTGGATATTAGGAAAAATTTCTTCACGGAAGGGGTAGTCAAGCATTGGAACAGGCTGCCCAGAGAGGGGGTGGAGTCACCATCCCTGGAAGTGTTCAGAAAACGGGCAGACGTGGCACTTTGGGACATGGTTTCGTGGGCATGGTGGTGTTGGGTTGGTGGTTGGACTGATGATCTTAGAGATCCTTTCCAACCTTAATGATTCCTAGTTTTACTTTCATTAAAAAATAATCTAGCCACCAAGCCAGGAAACATGGAATTAATTATGACTCTTCCCTTCATTGGTTTAATGGTGGACTTGGCAGTGTTAGGTTAATGGTTGGGCTGGATGATCTTAAAGGTCTTTTCCAACCTAAATGATTCTGTGATTCTCCTTCCAGAACAAATGCTGTGTGCCTACCAAATGTTTTTACTGGTATTCTATATTAATAGTACTGCCTGCCAAGGTTGCCTTGCCTACCTATTCTGTGAACCAGTGTTCAAGATCATCCGAATTTACTTTGCCTTTTAATTGTCAATTTGGATTCCACTTTCTGAAAAATCTGAACAACTGAGCCTTACTTTTGTCACCAATTAAGACTCATAACTCTCTCCAATCCCATATCGAGGTCATGGTCTTTATTGTCCCCTGGGAGAACAGCATTAAAGGCCTGTTAACAATGTAGAAAACAGGTATACAACCCCTTGGGGGTGGGGTAATAAAAATCAGGAGACATGCTCAGATGTTCTTCTATGGTCTAGTAAAGCAAGGAAGATATATAGCTATAGAGATAGAGGTAACTGAGAGCACATTATTTACTTGAGAAGCTACCTATATAAGAAAATAGATTGTATCTTTGCTGTATACAGCATTCACTCCTGGCATCCAGGAACCTTCTGACTGCTTTAAAATTCAAGGATCTCACTGAATGATTAAGCCAGTAAATTTTGAACAAAACACAGTTTACAGTGGTTCTGAATGTTGTGCAAATCACAGCCATAAAATTGATCTAAACCACAGGAGCACTGGATGTTCTAACACTAGTTTTGCTTCATGGCTTTTCCACTACCCAAAATAATAGCCTGGTACGAGAGAGTTTACAAACCCTCCATCTTTCATCTATTAAAAAAAAAAAAAAACAAACAAGGCAAATAAAGACTCATCATATATTTTGGTGTGTCCTGCCTCACTACTGTGCACTCATTCTCTTCCCCTTGCACTGCATCCAAAACAAAGCAAGAGCCCACAGAGCAAGCTGTTACATGCAACAATGCTCTGCTACATACAACAATACATCAGCGAGCAAAGCTCCTTCTCAGCAACCAGGCCCCATTTGGTGACCAGATTGTTGTTCTCAGACTGACAGAACTAACAGATGCTCCTTCGTATGAAGCAAATATCTGCGTAAAGGAAGAGGTGGTTCTTTTTCCACCTGAAGTGGGAAGAGGCAAAGGGAAAGGCTGATATGGCAAAAATAAAAATGCTGAGAATTACAGGCAAATACCCTTTAAGTACATGACTGTACAAATTTCTAAGTTCATACAGTTACAAATGTTCAGTACATTTCTTCAGTATCAGCAATGCACACCTTGATGTCTTATACAAGAATTGAGGGAAACTCAGTATATCTATCAAGACTTCCAAATCGAAATAGATGCAATAGTGATAGATCATCCTCAAATTCTGGACTACTAAATTAAAATAAGCATCATGATGCAAATTTTATCCAGCGCACAAACAACTGCAAAGAAAACAAAGTAGTGCACAGCAGTGCAGGATGCACAGAAACCATCCTCAAAAGCCATCACTGAAGTCTCAATAAACTTCATCCACAAACACCACAATAAAAAACACTGGCCTACCTACATTATGCAGGAATGCTGAACATTTAAAAAAAAATGAAAAAAAAAAAGTATTATTGCCATTAGCTTTAATTTCATAGTGTCTAGACACTAGTACAACATCTTGTATCAGTTTACAAACACTAAACAGTACACAAAACACTAGCAGTGCTATTCAAGAACTTCACAGATGTATGAGGTCAAACTAAGTCAGTACCGATTCACCGTGTGTCAGATTAAATACGCTTTTCCATCATGTTATTATGCCTGACGACACAATTAAACCTGTCCTTTTTAATCGTGACATAGTTTTTAAAAAAAGATACTTTTTTTTTTAATTTGCTAACAAGCTGAGGCCTCATCTAAGAAAGGGAAAGGAAGATAATTAACTCAAAGTGAAATTCTAGTGAAGACAATGAAGTTACCAAAATATTTAATCTGAAATGTACTCCCTGCAAGTGTTCAAAAAACGGGCAGAGGTGGCACTTTGGGACATGGTTTAGTGGGCATGGTGGTGTTGGGTTGATGGTTGGACTGATGATCTTAGAGGTCCTTTCCAACCTTAATGATTCCCAGTTTTTACTTTCATTAAAAAGTAATCCAGCCACCAAGTCAGGAAACATACCCTAAATTGTTTTAGTGGTGGACTTGGTAGTGTTAGGTTAATGGTTGGACTGGGTGATCTTAAAGGTCTTTTCCAACCTAAATGATTCGATGATTCTAAGTTAAATATCACAGACGGTTCTGTTTTTTCACTCCTTTAAGCCCTGTTAAAATGACGGATTGCCTTACATTCTAAGATTGTAATAAGAGTTCAAAGTCAGTACATATCTCTTCCTTTCCTAGAAAGGGGGACATCCCCCCAGTGCTGTGTTTCACCACTAAATGCATTTTCACATCTATCCAGGTGCAGGTATATACACAGAGAGCGAGCTCAGAACATAAATTAAAATTTGTTTTCTGTGAGGCCGGCTGTTTCTTCTTCCCCGCCCCCTCTTTCTTATAGAAAAAGGAAACTAAAGGGAATCTTCTGCGCTGAAGGCATCATTTTCAAGCGCTGCCTCCAGTCCCACGCAAGCACAGATGCAGACGGGCTACACGCAAGGGCCAAGTCCGAACAACTGACTGCGGCCTCAGCGATTCCAACGTTAAAAAAAGAAGAAAACAAAAAAAATTGAGACTCCCAAGGACAATTAACCGAGCACATCACCGATTACGGACACACGCGAACGAGTCACCGCCGCCTTCCCACAGGCGCTGGAGCCCACGGCCCC